AACATCTTACTCTTTCTATTCTTGTATAGGGGAGTTAATTTCCTGATTCTTACATTATTCTCTCAATTAGGAAAAAAAAAAGACTATGTTAAAACCTATAAACTTTTGAATAGGACTCGCTAAACTATCTGAAGAAATATTAAGAAAACTCTTAACATAACAAAGTCAAGATAATTATAAGGGCAGTCTGTCGACTTATGAGTTAGGGATCCTCAATACAGCCAATCAGTTGGCATCCACTTCTGAAACAACATGCCTTTGGAAACTCTATGAACTTGGATAAATGAGTTATAGAAAGGCTTCAGGCCTTTTGTTCATTGGGTCGCTATGATGCTCAATTTGACAGCAATCAACAAAAGCAACAAGCCTATGGAGGCCAAGTAGGGCCTAAAGGCAACTGGAAAACATGGACCTGTTAAGACTAATTACCAGATTATCCCAATTTGGCATGTAAGCATTATCAAGAAATCAAAAGTTTGGGAAGTACCTAGTTAGTGGAACATGCTGACCTAGACATCACGGTTAACTCCTTATCACTTCACCAGTGAATGACTTCAGTTAAGTTGCTTAATCTTTTTGGAACCTTTGACTTCTCTTTTATAAAATAAGGCTTAGTTTAGTTAGTGGTAAAAACCATTTTTATCTTTGAAATTGCAGGCTCTTCCTTCACATTATATTTCATTAATTAAGTAGTAATCAATTTAAAACTCTAGACTCATTTAGTTAATATTTATTAAGCACCTACCCTGTTCCAGATACTGAAATGGAAACTCAAAATCAGAGGGAATTCTGAGCAATCACTTCTTCAAGAAGTTAAATCATTACGCTTCAGAAAAGTCCGAATAACAGAAATTCACACAACTCTCTTTTACAGTATTAACAAATATCCACTTTAACTATCATTATGTTGTTGATATATGTTGGCCCATAGTTGACCCTCCACTGGGTTTTCAGAGCAAGTACATCACATACTTTGGACCTGTGGCCTGGAGGGTCTGATCCTTGGAGAAGGACAACATGCTCAGGTGGCGTAACAGAGCAGGAGAGGAAGACCCTGGATGAGATGGATTAATACAGTAACTGGGGTAATGGGTGTAGAGGAGTTGTCAGTGAAACTGGCTCAGGACAGGGCAGGCTTCAGAGCTACTGTACAAAGGGCTGCTATGAATCACAGACACATAACAACAAAAAAATTATACTGGAGAAGACCGTGATCCTTCTCCCAGAACATTTGGTGGATCTGAAGCACGAGCATTTGGATTGCCATGTAGTTTAACAAAGAAGTTCTCTAATTATCATTATATCCTCTGTCAGTATGTAGTATGTTCCCTAACTATATTCTTCACCTACTTTAAAAAAGGAGTATTTAAATTTACTGGTAAATTGCACTTATAATAAAAAGAAAATTCCCAAAAATCAGTTTATAAAAAGTTTAAAGACTCTTAGACTTTGTCTTATTTTCAAATATACCTATTAGACAATGAACATCTGACTTAAACTATAAAATTTTATAATTTGACAGGTTCATTATAGTACCCAAAATAGGAAAAATTAAGGATTAAAGTCTAGAATGAGAAACTCAGAAGCAGCACTGTAAGCTCTTTCAAATGATGTACAGTTGTTGCTGTTATGTGCCGTCGAGTCGCTTGAGACTCATAGTGACCATATGTACAACAGCCCTAAACCCTACTCTATCCTATGCCAATCGCACTGCCTCTGACACACCCATCCCGATTACCCCAGTCACTGAATCAATCCACCTCACAGAGGGTCTTCCCCTCCTACGCTGTGCCTCCA